ATTCTTCGCTTGTTTTTTTCTTTAGTTTGCCTGGTAGAAGGATGTTCAGAGTCACTATCCTGGCTTTCTTCATCTGGGGTAAATGCCCGGGTGCGTTTGGAGACAAGACCAGGAGAAATTTCATTAAGTTCTTGCTGAAAAGGAACACAGTTTTGAGCTTCGAAATTTTGTGAGGCGTTGTTTGAGATACCCGTGAGGTGTACGGGTGAAAGAGATGACATTTTTTTTTTATAAATTTAATAATTTGCTTTGAAATGTGTAATGATTTCAGCACAAATTTCTCCATTTTGTAAAATTTATTCTCTTCATGATTCCACTTTGGATATTCATTCAAAGGTCCATACGACCAGATTGACCCAAAACCTCCTGTTTCAAGATATTCAACGTTTGTAAGTCTTTCAAATGAAATCAATTCGAATAATTCATATTTAATTTTGTTGCATTCTTTTATTAGATTATCGATAGCTTCGCATCGTTATAAATTCGGTTGTGATATTTGAAACAGTGAACGCAGAGCTTATTTTGTTCACAATCAGTACATTTACTGCAATCATGAGTGTTGTGAACTAAACACTCATCGCAGTATTCATTCTCTTGACAATATCCACATTCATAACAGTGATTTGATTCCATCTTTGAGTTTAAAATGCGTGAATTTGTTGAAATAATAGAAAGCAAATGAGATATAATCGTTGTCGTTATATAGTAAGTAGGGATCCAAATTCTATGTGCAACTTTTATTACATGTACAATATATGCAGTTTTTTATTATTTTCGTGTGCGCAGACAGCATACAATGTACATGTACATGTATCGGTATGCAATTTTGTTATCAAAAGAAAGCCTATTTAGATACATGTACATACAGTAGTTTTTAAAATGAGCATATGTATTACATGCATTTTAATTGTTTGTGGTTATTGTGTGTGTTTTTATCGCTGGATTAGCTATTTAATTCAAAAAAACAGTGATGATATATTCATTTATTTTGTTCATAAAATATGTTAATTTTATCCTCGATTTCGCTACCATTACTTTGATAATTCACTAATTCCAAAAATTACGGCAAGATCGATCGACAACGCACAAATTGCCACATGTAAGGTTAATCTTCGTAATTATAGAAATAATTGACTTCGAGACTACCGCAACCTCAATAATTAAACATCTGACATCGATATCGTTGCTGTAGTAACATTACGATTTGTGAGTCATGGCTAATGATACTTGACGGCGACGAAACTTTTCGTCACGTCAATTTGACGAAACCTTTCGTCACGACCATTTTGAAAAAACCTATGACGAATGACGAAACCTATGACGAATGGCGAAACCTATGACGAAACTTTCTGACCAATGAAATACTAGCTCGTGAATCATGATACTGACCATTTTTGAAAATGTACGAATGCATATACATGTACATGTATCGATAACGATTATAATACCGATACAGTACATGTAATACGTTATTTGATTTTCACACCCCTATACCGATACTTAACATTAATGTTTATTATGGCCAAAATGATTTGCAACATTGTCATTATGCAAATTAGAATCCTATTACTATTACGCGTCTTTCTTTTCGCGTATATCGGGGAAACATGAAACAACACAATAAAGAAAAAAACAAAAAAACAAAATACTGTTGTTAGAAGACGAGGATCTATAAGTTGTTCAATCTCTTCCGCCTATACTTTTACATCAAGTCTATCAAATGAAACAATTTCTGGACGTCAATTGTCAACTGTTTGGAAGTTTTTTATACGAGGAAGAACCAAATCTCCTGGACACTTTTCAGCCATATGTAAATTTTTTCAAGCTAAATGGGCAAGAGGTGAACCATTAAAACTCGAGGCACATCTTGCATTAAATTGTTCTAAAGTGGAAGATGAAGTTCGACAGGTGTACTTGCTTTGTGTAGCCCAACGTGATGGTCTTGATAAATCTAAAAAACGAAAATTAAATAATGAACAATCTAATCTTACAAGATTTTTTCCACATATGTCAGAAGGAGGTTTATCTGAAGGACGAAAGAATTCTATAGATAGTTCTTTATTGAAAGCTTTTGTAGTTTGTGGCATTGCATTTTCTGTAGTGGAAAATCCATTTTTTATCGATCTTCTTCAAAATTTGTGTCCAGATTATCAGCCATCATCAAGTGAAACTTTGTCAGGACGAATCTTAGATCAAGAATGTTATAAGGTTACTATTAAACAAGAAACTATTTTTCATGAGTCAAGTAATTTAACTTTGGGTATATATTTAATTATTTAAATAAATTAATTTATATTATAAATTACTAATTAAATATATATATTATTTATAGCATTGGATGGATGGGCTGAGATCATAATTTTTCTGCGGATTCACATACTGGTCAATTTCTTGCGAATAAAATAAATAATGTTTTGGATGATATTAGAAATGATAGATTTGCAGCTATTGTCATGGATAACGCTAGTAATATAAAATTTGCATGACAAATTATTCATCAATAACATCCAAATATTTTAAATTTACGCTGTATAGCTCATTGTATTAATCTTATATCTAAGGATATTCTTAGTAAGTATTTATAACTTCATTTTTAAAAAATATATATAATTATTTTAAAATATAATATTCATAATTTAATGAATTATTTGAATTTAATTATTTATTTATATAAATTTTTATACTAATTTTTACTTTATTTATTTAGAACATACATTTGCTTTACATCTTGTAAAAGAATGTAATCAAATTATAAAATATTTTAAACAATTGAATGCAGTTTTAAAACAAGCAATTGAAGAATTACAAATTTCTGTGGTGGATTAAAAAAATTTATTGATACTTGATGGACTTCAGAATATGAAAGTACTATATCAGTTAGTCGACTTGAATGAGCCTTTATTAAGATAAAGAAGTATTTTAATTAATTTTTATAAATTTTTATATTTTTAATTAATTTTTTATTTAGATTATAAATGATAATTCTAATTTAATTTCAAATCAAAATATAAAATAAATTCTAAAACAATCATATTTTTTCTCGAACCTTAAAATTTTAATCAAAATTTTAGTTAGCTCCTATTTGAATTGTAATTACAATTTTGGAGTTACAATCAACAACTTTGGCTGATTGCTTTATATAACTTATTTGCTTAGCAGTTACAATCAAAAAAATTTCAAACAATCAAAATAATACTTTTAAATATCATCACTTACAATCTTTTAATCAAAGATGGAAAGAGTTTGATGTGGATGGCTATTTATTAGCATATTTTTTTCATTCAGATTATCATGATAAGATAATATTAATTTAATAAAAATCATATAATTTTATATTTAGTAATTTGATTATAATAATTTTATAATTAAATAAATTAAATAGTATTAAATTTATTTAAATTAAATTATTAAAACATAAATATCACATTCTGAAGTTTAATTTTAGCATGTGACATCTTGTATTCCAGTAATCTGATTTGTTATAGTTATAAACAAATTAAATTATAATAAGATTTTTCAAATTGGATTACTGATAAAGTTATTAATTTATTTTTTATAAATTTTTTGAATATTTATAATTATAATTATATTAATTATTATAATTATTTAGATATTGGTTTACATGAATAACAATTTCAAATTATTGCAAAAAGTGCAATTAAAATATAACAACAAGAAGAACATGATCAGTATGAATACGCAAATCTTGTAGCTCATATTTTGAGAAAAAAGACTGAATTTGACTTGCCATATTATTTCAAAAATGATACTCCTTTGCTATGATGGATGACAAATTCTACTGGTGCAAAATCTATTAGCAGATTAGCTATTAAAATCTTTTCAATTACACCTCATTCTGTTGATTGTGAAAGTACCTTTTCAGCCTTAGGTTGGTTATATGGAAAATGATGATGATGACTTTTTTATTTCAGATTCAAGCTATGGCACAAATTCAATCTTTTATATTTCAAATATAAAAAATGAGTTAGCTTTTTTTGGTCAAGAATCATTACTTAATAATTTATGAGAATTAGTAATATCATCAACATTTCTTTTTGAGGATACTATGAAATATACAGAAGATGCTGAATTAGAAATGGATGATATTAATTTTTCAGAATATTTAGAAGTTATCAATCAATTAGATATTGAAAATATGGTACAATTAAAAGATAAAGCATTCCGGGACAAAGAATTTGATATTGATAGTGCAGAATCACAAATTGATAGTGAGGAGGAAGTCAAAAGTAAAAAAGGACATGGTATATTTGATTTCAATCCAGAAGATTTAGTAACAGATTTAGTAAAGGAATGGGAAAATGAAAAAAGAAAGTGAAGATAATAATAATAATTATTATAACGATATTATTAGTAATAGTAATGACGATAATAATAACGTGGATAATAATAATGATAATGGTGATGATAATGATGATAATAATAGTAATAATAATGATGATAATAATACCGGTGGTGATAGTAATAATGAAGATGATAATAATATCAGTAATAATAATAATAATTTCCCAATAGCTCTTCGAAATCCACGTGCAACTGGTGCTACAATGCATGACTATTAAGAAATTATAAAAGCTTATAGGAAACTCAAAAATTTAATTAATATCTATCATAAAGGCTTCTCATTCGATAATTATACAAGAGGACCAAAAAAATTAATCGTCATTATGCCAGTAGCTGCACCCGACATTATAAAGAAAATTTCAAAAGAAGTTGACGAAATATTATGTTTACTGCAACCAACACATCTATTCAGTATCATATTATGGTATGAAGATTTCTCCCAGGTTGGCTTGTATTTCATTAAATATTTTTTTATTTTACTTAAAAATTAAAATTAAACTAAACAAATTACATAATAACTGAGAAATAACTTAAGCTTCAAGATAATAATAATATTATTATCAAGAAATTCATGATGTAATTTTTATTATAGTAGATTGAAGACCCTGAAGTCTTGGAGTTGTTGAATAGAGCGGAAAGCGAACATCCGGTTCCTACTCTTCCAGATGATAAAACTTCAAAAAATCTATTTGATAAGGTAATAGCAGCAAAAATATTATAGACAGCAATAGCAAAAATAACAACAATGCCATTATGACAAATAAAGATATCACTATTCGGTCGTAATGGATTGACTTTATTAACACGATTGGACGAAAGCTTGGGTTGTAAGTATATTTGAGATATAGAGAAGTTTTTTAAATGGATTGATATTTCATGAGAAACATTATTTTGTTAGTTCACAGAGCATCATATGTACAAGTTCTATATAATCGATTCTTTCTCTTTCACTCGACAAAAGAATTCCTCCAAGTATATTTATTCATCAATCTATTTTCTTGCTTTGGATTATTACTCGATCGATTATCAATTCTAGATATTTCTTTAATTCCACCATAAAAAGAGGATATTAGCTCAGCGTATCTTTCACGGCAATGAAATTCGAGAAGCTAAAAGATATTCGTGGTAGCTGTGCAATCAATTAGGTATCCAAATAGCAGTAAACCTAATGATCAAGTGAGTTTGATTTTTCGCATGAAGGAATATACGTAGATCAAAAGGTAACGTGTTTATTTATTATTTAGTGAGTCTTTTATTTATTTATTTGATGAACTTCTTTATAAATGGCTTATGTTATCGTTACTTTTTATAGACTAAAACTTTATCAATTCGATTATATATCTTTTCTGGAGCAATTTATACATAATAATAAACACTTATATTTATTAGAGCTTTAAAATATGTAATCGAAACTAAGTATATACTAATGTTTCATAAAGCAAAAAATTCAGATATCTTACATAATTTGAATAACAATATTTAAAATTTTAATACTGAGAATGAATAATATTAGCATAACCAACAATCAAGCGACAGGACAGCAAATTGAATTACTATTTCAACTGATGTGTACTAGATAATATAGCCTATATACATTTATATAACTGGTGATCAAATAACAATATACCGTATTGTCGCGAAATAACGACCACTACGCGTTATTTTGAGTACGCGTATGTGCGTTATTTCGAGACAAAGGATCGATTCTCTGATTTTTGAAATAACGCCAATGTGCGTTGCATATAATAATTGGACCGGTCCAAACTAAAGATCAAGATGAATTTATAATTTATATACATACATTTTTGATATTTAAAAATGCAATTCATCAATAACATGTTTACTTATTGTACGTAAATTTGCTAATAAGTTTTATGGGGTGTACATTATTTAGCCATAGGCGTTTTTTAACCATTTATGTTATATTAAATGATTGTCATTTTTTGATACAAACAACAACAAGCATAAATTCTATTCTTCCTATTTACAACACATTCTGTCACTGTTGATGTTTCAACACCCCCTAATATGTTTTAGGTGATGAATCAATAATCAAGGTTTATATTATGAATACATAGAATGCACCAACCTTTTAAGATTATAATGCAAGATTTTATTAATAGAACAAGTGTGCTTTTAAAGTAAGATAATCCAAGCATAATTGCATTGATCACACAAAACATTTTCTGATCAAAACCATTTTTCCTGCTTTTTCCAGTTTTCCGGCCCATAAGTATAAGAATGCATACATGGGCCTAGATTCATTTTGAATTTGTCTTATCTTAATTATTTAAGATGTCTAAATTATATTTATACCGATCTATAACTTCGACTGCTTTAAATAATTTCGAATAATCTTGTACTAATTAAAATTAATTAAGGCGCTTTGTATATACTCCACAATGGGGCAAGCCACATTTATTTCAGGAATGATGATTTCCTTGACTTTGAAAATTATAATGATTGTAATAATAAAACCATTAAATAATAATTACATAATAAAACTAATTAGTCATTTATCCAAGAAGCTAAAAAAACTAATTAGTTCAAATAACTAATTTTTCCTATTTTTCTTTTAACTAGTTTTAACTTTGATATTTTATAAAAAATTTTTATAATTATTTTCTGTGTTTTTGCAGAAACTTATTGAATATCCTAAATAGGACTTGTAATGATAGTAAATATAGTAAATTTTATCATTTTGCGAATTATAAGTCTTAACTTATTAAAACCATCCTTCTCTAAACCGAATTTACTAATATTTATTGAAAAAGAGTAAACTTATTTATCTCCATTCTCTGCTTAAATTGCTTATAACATCTTCTCTAAACCATATATAACAAATTAAAAATAAAGTTACATGAGAGTAGAAAAAAGTAAACATATTATATTACGCTTAAAATGCCTAGCATCTTCTCTAATTAGAGAGATATTTTAAATTAAAACATTTCTTCATTAATATAGGGGAGATCGCGGTATTGTGAAGAATATGAGTATTATGAGCCGTCAATACCATATTATATCATAAATATCATAAATATCAATAATTATGTCACTACCACACATTTTTTTTATATGCATGATACCTTTCGAGATAATATGACTTCGTCACAATACCCATCCTTTCGCCAGAACTCCCTTAATAAAATATGCCTTCTAAATGCGGTTCATTAAAAGTTCAAAAGTGTAACTTTATGATACAGATGATAAATATTTTTTAAACGCAAATTTTTTGAAACCTTATTCCAGAATTGGAGAACATGTTAAACATTCAAGTTAAATAAAGTAAGTGGGCACTCTTGGAATCAGACGCAAACACAAATCATATAGATTTAAAGCATGCATATACATTTATTTAAAGAGATCTCAAATATTACAAATTATCGCAGCAATATTTTTTTAACTAATGTATTTTTTTTAAGATCTTATTCATTCGTCAGTTTCTAGTAATCAATTTGGATTGAATTATTTGAATAATGAAACAAGATAATCACTAGACATTATAAATAAAATTCCAAAAACATGAATATCATCTTCCGAGTATTTTT